TAACAGCATAGCCGTCAAAACACAGCAAATCAATTTTTCCCCCTTACTGTCTCCACTCTGCCTTTTCAGAATATTTTTAGTTGCTCTGATTAAAAATTTACCTCTTAAGTAACACTGAGGACACAGTGCATGTCTAGATTACAATTTTGTATAACTTTTTCAGTCTACCTATGTATCTTCCTTGCAAAGGAAGTTGTGGAGCCATATCTTTCCTTACTTCCCTTATATTTCTAACAAAACTGAAAAATTAGTAACTAACTTTGAAAGACCAACAGGAAAATAACTTTACAGCAAAATGCAGAAAATACATCTTCAGAATGAAGATGTGAGGCTGTCACATGTCATGGGATTACACAAGATACCTTACACAAGAGAAACATGGCATGCTAAACTGGAAAACACACTTGCAGGTCTTGCTGAAAGCAAAGATAAACAACCTCAGCATTTCTGTATTCTGTCTTTGGTGCTGCATTTTAGGGGACGAGTTCTCACCCCTGGACTCCTATCTCTCTCTCTGTCCTCTTCATCAAGGACAAAGTGGGTCACAAATGTCTTGTGCCAGTTCTATCACATATTCTACCAGGTGTGATTAACCAGTACTTCCTCTATTACTTTGTCCAGATATGCTTGAATTACCATGCCTGAAATTCTGCACGTGTGCAGCCACAGTATTTATCGGAATGTCACCAAAACTGTATGAATGAAGGAATGTAAATCCCTCTTCCTGGGATTCTCTGCATTGGTCTTCTTATTCATAGCAGGCAGAGACCCTTCTACCTTTTGACTGCCATTCAGCCACCCTTTCTTTTTTCCTGTGAAATCTGTTTCCTATCCAAAACTGGAGAAGTCTTGACTGCTGAAAAAGAGATTACTTTCTGATTTAATTTCTGAAGGTCATTCATTCTGATTAGACAGCTTAGACAAGTTGAGTAGTAGAAGGCCTAAATGTAAAGATATGGAGGATAAAACAGCCATTGCAAAAAGTAAGGGAAACACCCCTTTCTTCTTTTAGTATCAACAGCCCAAAATAATTTTTTTTTTGCAAATGTTTGTTCACTAAAATGTTCCAAGGGGGAAAATGTCAGCTACAAATCCTCACTCATTGTGTATTTGCACAGCAATGCTTAAAGGTCCTTAAAGATCTCCAAGGATTTGAAAGAAATAATTCAGTCAGGTGGCAAAAACAGTGCCACTGCCTTCCAGTAGCTGGTTACATGGCTCATGGGGCATCTGACAACTCCAGGCAAGTCACAGTGAACTCACTTCACACATCATACATGGAAAAATGCATTTTACTACCCAAATGTATGAAAGTCTAACTGTTTGAAGCTAATGCATCAAGCAAAAATAGCTGCAATACACAGGATGGACATGCAATACACAGATGGAAAATGTTTTGCTCATTGCAAAGAGACACTTCTCTGCTTTTCTTACAGATGGCCTGCTCCTGTTCTTGCCAAAACCACCACAGTTTCGCTCAGTTTCCTTGGCACTTAAAAAAGTCACAACTTTTCCTTCACACATGCTGCTGACTCTTTATATACCTGAGTAACAGGTGTGCTGCATCCATGTTTTGCATTATTCATCTTGGATGAGGTTAAACCCTGACTGTGTGACACATCACACATTACTCAGTTTACCTCAGTGCTGTGTTTTGATTTTGCTCAGTTAAGTTTACCTAGGACACATTTAGGCTGGAACAGTTCTTAATTACTCTGGTACAGAAACTTGGCATTCTCCTAAATTTGTGCTTTTCAGCAATGAGATTCCTTTCTTTCTGCTGTATCTTTAAATTGCCTGCGCTTCCCTAAAAGTTGTCTCAATATTATTACCTTACAAAGCAGATAATCAGGATTTACTTGATTTCAGGCATCTCTTCCTTGCTTAAACAATTACTTGTCCCATGCTCTTTCGTGCCCCCACTTTCCTTTTCCCTGTAGAGAAATACATTTTCACTGCTAATACACGCCATAACTGCAATGTACTGCAGAATGGGTATCAGTCCAAAGTCCAGTGAAATCTTGAAAGGTTTCTGAACCACAGAAAAGGCAACTACACAGTATTACACAGGCAGCCTCTATAAAGGATCTTCATTTAAAGACCTCTTTTTGTGTTATAAATTAGTTTTATTTGTATAACATTTTCTACCTTCAGATCTTTATAGTCCAATAACTAAGAAAAGCAGTTTAAGAAGGAAAATGTGACTATCAAATGTCCTAAATCCTCATGAAACTGGTATTTTTAAAATCTAATCTGGATTAGAAAAAAATCTAGAATTTTAAATTCTAGAAGTGATTAAATACAAGCACAACTTAATAAGCTGCTTGTAAGTAACTAACATTCAAAACATCAGTACTGCAGTTTTTCTAGTCCTAGACACTTTTCTCCCATCCTCCACAGCAGATTCACTAAAAATTCAAGATAATGATTACAAGTACCTAGATCTGTAACATACAGATCCATAGCAACGCTGAGGATCTCTTATGTTAATTTCTGTGCCCAGAGGCTTTTCTGCAACACTGAATTAAAGAAACCACTGTATCATTCCCATAACAAGATGATTATCTAGGAATTAAGACTAAGTAGAAAACTCTTTTCAAAACATCAGTCTTCCAAGGCCTTTAAAAATCAAACAAAATTGCTGATGTGGCTTACATCATCAATTCTCAAAAGTTACATATCTGCTCACATCCTGTTCTACAAAGAAATGGCAAAGTAACCATTATGAAAGTCTTCATTTATGATTCCTTCTTAATGCAGTAGATAATCTCCTTGGAATTCTTGATTTTTAATGGGACATTTGAAAAGATTTCTTTTACTGTTGTTGCACGTGAAAAAACCAAGAGGACTACAACATCACTTACCAACAATCCATTAGTGTCACCTCTCAAATTCTTCAGATGTAAAGGTGAGAAATTTTTCCTCCTTAAAGTGTCAAAACATATTTGGATGTCTGCTGAGTGAGGTTTAAATGGTTTAGAGAACAAAACTAGTAAAGGTCCTAAATCTGTGTGACAATTCTCTGTGAGCAATCAATCTTCCCTTCTATTTGCAGAAGTCACAGAGGGAACCAGAGGTGTATTCCTTGAGGAGGAACAACTGTCATCCCTGGAATATGTTCTGCATGTGTGAAAGCATATCAAAGGAGAAAACACACATAGTAGAAAACCAGAGTAATGAATGCTGTCCCTACCTCACCACTCTACTAGTATGGAAGCCAATGTTCTCAGCAAAGAAGAGAAGCATAATCTGTGAGTTGAGCCATGACTGATGCAGTGCTGCTGGCAGGCTGCCAGAGTGTATGTGGATTTCCCCAGTAAGATGCTTAGAGTAATCACAGAATAATACTGCCATTGTTTGAGGAAGCAGGGAACAAGATTTCTCCAAACTTACAGACTTGGAAGAGCTGCTTGCACTACACATAGGATTTTCCCCCAAGAGATGATGTCACAAAGAAGATAATTGCTGGTTAGGTATCACTGAGGAGAATGTAGGCAAAAAGTGGCAATGAGTACTGAGCACATACAATAAACTTCTGGCATGAATGAATGGAAGGACCAGTTCCAGAATGGGGTTCAACAACCCAGTTTTTACCAAAAATGTTGATTCTACTGTTTCAGAACCATCATGATAGAAGACAGCAGGATCTGTGTGCAGAGCCTTCAATGTCTACGTCCTTGTGCTAACTGATACTATGGTGCACTCCAAGTGACAATAAGAAGTTACCCATACTTGCAATAAATTTGTTTCCCAATTTCCGTGAAAGATATATTCTGTTCTTTACAATGAAAAGTACTCATTATCTTATCCTAACCTGTATTCCTCTTCTGCACACACCATCTTGAGTAAGTTAAGATCCTTTTGCATGATTTGCATGTGAGAAAGACTCAAGAATTAATGACTCAAAGCTTTAAGATGCCCACACAAATTTCATTTCCATTTCTGTTTCTTCATATAGCACAAACAGTCTCATATAATACTACACAAAAAGGGTAAAAAGGAAAAAACCCTCAGAAAATAAAAATCCACTGTAATGCCATGAAAACTAGGCCACAGAATAATCAATTCATCTGGCCTGCATCACATACCAAATTCAAAAGAACAACAGAGTTAAATACCTGGATGTAGAAAGCAGAAAATAAAAAATCTATAGGTGTTGGAGAACAGCATGAAACATTTTCCTATTATCTTCAAAAAAGGTTTATTATTTGCCTTCCTACAGCACTTTAAAAAGTCTCAAGACAAATTATTTTAAACCTCAGTTTTAGAAAGCTAGATAGCCAGCAGCTTTTTTATTTCTTGATTTGGAAACAGCAAATTGAAAAACAGTACATATGTAATAGCTGATACTTGTCTGCTTTTGAGGCAACTGTTATTACCAGTTGGACAAATACCCTGTGCACTCCCTGGTCATGTCAGTGCTGCAATACCCATATAATGTTCTGAAACCTGAGAGATTGTTCAACAGCATATAAATAAGTGTCAGAAAGAAATGAACAAGGTCTTTTTTTTTTTCCTCACAGTTGAACACCAACAATGGCATTCTACAACAAACCATTATTAACACTGACATTATAGTAAAGGTCTACTAGTGTGTCAAGACTAGAAGAAGAAAGGAAGAGAACAAGGAGACAAACTTCATTCACTTAGCAAAGAGCGGGACTAGAATGTCAGACACGCTCCGGACAGGAGTGTCACGCACTGCCAGATGTATTGAGGAAGGCAGTTGTTCACTGTTGCTGTCAAATCCTGAGCACAAAGCACTGGGGGAGTCTGAATACCAGAAGTTCAGTACTAGTGGAAAACTGAAAATTAGGTAGTATTTCTTTTAAATAAAAAGTTGGTTGTTTTTTTTTTTTTGCTGCAGGAAAGTTTTGGAGCTAAAAAATGAAATGTGCAAATATTGTAAGAATCAAGAACTTCTTGGTATACAGAACTAAAATAGTCACAAAATATTTATACTATGACCACAGGAAAAAGGTGTTAAAATTTTCACTTACTTTGGATGGGAAAATTCATCCAGCAGGACAACCTTTTCTATCAAGTCTCCACCAATGGTTCGAACCAAATCATAGAAATCATTCTGAGAGTAAGTCTCAGAAGGCAGCCAGAAGGAGATGTCATTGATCAAAGGTGGATATCGGCTGAGTGGCTAAAAGAAATTTAAAAACATACCTTTATACATGGTTGGACTTGATAACTATATCTACAGCTGTTCTGAACTTACATAACACACAAAGTACACAGTTTAGAGGCTTTTTGAAATTGTCTTTGAAGGGCAAACTGACCTCATAAATGACTGAGATGGAAGGTTTTATACTAGGAAATGTCTTTTAAAGATCCCCTCATAACAACTTTGGTTTTTTCATTCATAAGAAAAATCTTGTTTTTGTTTGCTAAAATCAGATTTATGACTCTGAACACACTTTTGCAACAGAGCTGCTTAGAAGGAAGAGATAATGTCAAGTGGTTTTTCACTGGGTAGAATTGCACTTTTTAAAAGCATTTTCCAGACTTTTTGCATATTCAAAACTTCTTCTCACATTCAGGTATAAAATCTGTATGCATATTATACAACTCTTATATTACACAACATATTTATTATTTTTACTGTTGAATTTTTAACAGTCATAAATGGGCAACTTCTTGTTAAAATGTTTTAATAAGAAACACACTTTGGCTTAAAAAGAGGGATCAGTTCACTTTCTGGTGGTTTTTGTAGACATCTACAACAACACAAAAGGTATGGCTGTTAATATAGTTATTCATTCCACAAGTACCACAGTAGGCTTTTAACACAAAGGGGAACCTTTGCTGCCCACACAGAGTGGGCAGATAGTGTAACTTGTTATTTGTAAAAATGGGAATAGAAAGATAAATGAAACCAGATCATTAACTTTTTAGTTTTGATGAAACTTCCCAGGACTCTGTGGGTTTCAGATCTCACCTTTGGTGAGATGTTTCACCCTTTGAAGAACAGAAAATGGTAACGTTCTCCTTTCATGACCTCTAGGTCATACAGTATCTTACTTCTGCCTTGCATTAATTCTCTGCAGTTGGAAAAAGTACTTTTGCACAAGATAGTTGGAGTCTGCAGGAGAAAACATCTATTGTATTATTTTCTTTATATATACAAGAGATTCCATGCGTACACCTTGGTCTATACAATATAATATCTCACCCAAAATGTATTCCATGTCTAGGAATGTTTTATGATGGAGCAGTGGAAACTTAAGTGAGTACCTGCTAAAGCAATAAACCTGTTAATAAGGCAAGTTTACAGCATTCTGATTTACTCAAATACTGTTCTGTAGAGTGTAAACCAGTCAATAAATATCTGATAAGGAATACAGTGCCAGTTTTAAATTAATAACACCCCCAGCAAATAAAATTGCGAATCGCAAATGATTATTGAACTTGTTAAAGGAATAAACTTGTCAAATGAATTCATATCCTGTACATCAAATTAAAAAAGGAAACTTGCACAACAAATCCATTGCAAAAGAGCTTTTGATAAAACACTAATGAATGAAATGCAAATGTCTCTGCTCTACAAAAGTTGCAGCTGCAGATGCTGGAGATACTCCTCAGACAACAACTTGATACATGTGTTAGTGTAAATAAAGTTATGATCCTGCAGTAGACCCCTATAGTCTCACCTCATTCCTATCCACCACTTTATTTACCACTGCTATAGTTCAGGAATATACTGAACACCCTTCAAAGCTTGGTGGGACTAATACAAAATGCACTGCACTCACAGTTCAGGATATTTAATCATTCAACCAGAAGATGTGGCTCATGAGCCTTAGCATGATCAAGGCACCTTTCATTCACACAGGTACAAGGACAATAAAGAAAACTAATTTCATGTCCAGGTAACTCAGAAATGTCCTGTGCTGGTTTTGGCAGGAATTCATTTTCTTCACAGGGGCAAGCATGGGGCTGTGTTTTGAATTTGTGCTGAACACACGGTTGGTAACATAGAGATGCTTTTGTTATTGCTGGGCAGTATTTGCACAGAGCCAGAACCTTTCCTGCTTTCTGTATTGCCACACTGGCAAGAAAGCTGGAGAATTTGGGAGGAGACACAGCTGGGACAGGTGATCCCAAATGACCAAAGGGATATTTCACCCTACAACAACCTGCTCAGTATATAAAGTGGGAAGAAGGGATATGTGGAGTGATGGTGTTTATTTTCCCAGGTAGCCATCACATGTGATGGGGCCCTCCTCCCCAGAGATGGCCTGTCCATGGGAAGCAGTAACATAGAGATGCTTTTGTTATTGATGGTTTTGGCAGGAATTCATTTTCTGTGTGTGTGCAGCTTTTTCTCTCCAGTGTCACCAGTGTGGATAGAGAATTGTTGTAATTTTGTGTGTGTATGCTTGTGTTACAAAGACTGAAAGGACAAATGCGTAAAACATAACATAAGCATAACTTTTTATTATTAGCTACTAACCTTTTCTCAGAGCCTTGTAATACAGAAAAATCTTTTATGGTAAAAGGCAAGGCAATAATCCCATATTATATTGTCCCTTCACCACCTGGCTGCAGTCAATATCATTGCAGTAAGTCCTATATCAACACCAAAGTTAGTATAAGGATAAAATTCCTAGTTCTCAAATGTATCGATCTGTTTGCTGTAGAGCTCCATGAGTCACATCATGGTTTATTAGCTACACCTAAAATGCGAATAGGCTACTAAAGAGTCCCCAATTGGCATGCCAAAATGAAGTTCCTAAATTTGTATTCAGGCACTCCAGCAAATACATGCTGTGGTCCAACGGACCGCTTTGCCATTCTTTGATCCTTTCTTAACTCTCCTGCTCTATAACAGCAGACTGGTCCAAAGTCCATTGACTTTGGTCCTTTTTCAAGTTCAAGGCAAATGCCAACCCTGGAGACCATTTGTTATGAATTTACAGACATTTCAAAGGCTCCCCTCGAGAGAAATATGTTCTTCCACTAAATCTTCTACTCTGTTGTTGTCTCCAGCCACCACTTCCAGCTACATTCTCTTCATGGCTCAGGAGTCCTCCAAAACAATGTCTGGAGAAGCTACCAGGACACATCTGGTTCTGCAGGCTGTGTGTTGGCTGAACCCTAGCACACCACCCGAGCCTGGAAGCCCTGCTGTTCCTGCTTCATGCCCTGATCACTCCCTTAGGTTTTTGAGGAACTGAAAAGAGGTTTAGGAAATGGCAGAACTGATCCCACCTGCAGAGTGCTGCTGCAGGGCACTGGCAAAGTGTCAGTAAGCACTGCTGATGCACAGACATCCCTGCACCCCTCCTTTTGGTTCCATCAAAGTTTTGACACCACAGTGCTACTTTAAACATTCTGTTCACTTTCTGTTTCAAACACTTCAGCACACTATCACTATTTTTCGACAGCCTCAGAAAACAAATGCTTTCCCAGAAATAACACTATCTATAGGACTCCACTGAACCCATCTTGTAGGAAATCTTGGAAATAATAAATGACACCACATTTTTCAATCACCCAAAGTGAAAGCATTTAGGAGTTCTGAATTACTATAATTTCTTTAAATAATAAAATGGAAGTTTATGGTGATCCACATGTTATATATGATATATGTTTTCTAGTCATTAGTCAAAGTTCTTTCTCTGATGTATGTTTCCTAGTCATGTTATATGTTTCCTAGTCATTAGTCAAAGTTCTTTCTCTGACTACTAAATAAGTCAAGTATTTCCTAAACCTGCAAGCTTTTCCCTCTCAGGATGCTAATTTTAGTATAGAAATGGGTAGTTGGACACCAGTGCTATAACCTGCTCTGCCAGCCTGCCTTGCCTATGCCTACATCTGAGGAGTGTGCCACTAAAAACACAGGGCTGTTAGTCTTTCATATGGGTTGGTGATAGTTTAGGGAATTCTTCATCTCTACTGCTCTGCTCTGCTTTTCTGAGATTATTTCCCCTGCAGCAGCTGATAAAACAAACATCTGCCTGTTTCTTCACCACTGCAGCTCACAGCCTGCTGTAGCCAGCTGAAAATAGTCCCTCTCACTGGATGTGCTGAATGAAGAATTGCAGCAGCTCGAGTTATTGGGGGGCAGCTGTCTTAAGCAGCAACCGGATCCCATCAGAACTCATTTGTCAACATAAAATTGGAAATACTTGGGCTCTGTGTATGTTGCCACACCAGGCCACTACTCTGGATGCTTTGGCAGCAGGAATCAAGTGGTCACCATAAGAGTGGTATCTGTTCATCCACACATGGCAAAGGATCATCAGCTAGGCTGGATCCAAATACCTCACAGTGGTAAGAGAGAGAAAACTTCTTTCTGAGGGCAGAACCTCCCAAGCTACAGTAAGCTACAGTAAAAACAGCTGGCAATAATGCACAGCCAGTGCCAGTGAATAACCCAAACAAGGCTGTGAAGTGTCTTTAGCACAGAGTCCCAAACAGGATGGACACCAGCACTTTCCACAAATATTTGTAATTAGGAAGAAAAGCCATTTCCCCCAGATGGGTGCAACAAGGCAAGGGGACAGGAGAAGTTTTGTGCTGTGGCTGCTCACTCCATTCCTTCCTGGCTGCCAGCTGCAGATGGGACAAAACAAACGAGTGACAAACACAGCAGAGGAAAAGCTGTACTTGTATTTTGACAGTGGCGACACAAATGCAAGGTTAACGACAACACGCACCAGAAACTGGGTTAGCAATTCCATGGCAGCCAGGCTATTAAAAAGTCAGCCATGCTTTACTGCCATCACCAGTCTAAGTCAGAAAAATATGAGACTTAGCAGCATCGTGGCTGCTAAGCTTTAACAGTCCTGTCTTGCTCATGTTTCGGAGAAATATCTACATAAACTACACAGTTTTAATGCAACATCATATTCTCATCAAAATGAAAACTACAGTCCTGTAATAACTAAGCCTTTCTTAATATATTCCATGGTGAAACTACATTAATTCAGTGTTATCATAGGAAATTTAAACACGTAACAGGCATGAAATTAAAATTTGCAAATTTACAGCAGTAACTTAACCCCCATGCACATAACAAAGTTTCCTGTATTAGTGTGTATGCTCCTAGATTTACACTTCCGTATTTATGACCAGTGTAGACAAATTACAGTTGCTGCAGGGAACATAATTTCGAATTTCTTGGCTGCTGTGGCTTAA